TCCATAGGAACTTAAGGAAAAATTTCTTAACAGTGAGGGTGACCAGAGCACTGGAACAGGCTGCCCAGAGAGGTTGTAGAGTCTCCTTCTCTGGAGATCTTCAAAACCCGCTTGGATGCAGTCCTGTGCCACGTGCTCTAGGTGTCCCTGAGTATGCAGGGGGGTTGGACTAGATGATCTCTAGAGGTCCCTTCCAACCCTAAGCATTCTATGATTCTATGATTCTATGATAATTACTAACTGAATCTGTTTTACACCTTGGTCTCACTAATACTTGTATGGGGACTACCGAGAGAGGTTATGTGGAGTAGAGATGTGAGGAAGCAGAGGTATTAATCTAGGTTTGCTATTGAAAAAAAAAAAAGTGCATCTTGCAATGGCCTGTATTTTCATCAGGAAAATTGTCTTGAGTAATGCTGAAACTATTATAAGGTATCATTCCATTTTTTACAGTGAGGGAACAGGTATCTTCATTTTTATTTTTTTGATTAGATTTAAAGTCACTATTTGACATTTCCTCCTTGCCTACAAAACAACAGAAGTACTGGGGAGGAATGGACAATATTTGCCTGTATTATAATTTAAATATCAATACGTGGCTTAGGCAATAGAAATACAGGTAATGGAATTTGTTCAGTTTCCTGTCTGGAGGTTGTCTGCTTTAACTGGACAGCATGAGGTCTGGCAAAACTCAAATGGGAGTGTCCTTATATCTTTCTAGCCAAGTGAATCCTCTGCTCTCTGTGATATTCATAATCTCCCTTAGAGCTATTTTTAATATTTTACCTGAAACTATTCATTGAAAAAATATTTGTTTTCAAAGCATTTCAGGTAAATTATTTAGTTTTAAAAGCAATACCACTGGTAAATTTTGAACATTTCTGTTTCAAATTCATTTTTAATTTAACTTTTTGCTAGTTCACAGTCCTTCTCTAACATTATCTTAATTACCCAACAGTGACAGTAACTCATAGTGTGAGGCACTACAATGAACACATATGCACAGTTGCACAGATTTTGAAGCACAGGATCATTCAGACCCTCTTGCATCCTCTGAATGTAGGACCTCTCTCTGAACCTTTTTTTGGAAGAATATATCTAATTCCTGGATGATCCATATCAAGATTATTTCTGTTTGCTTGTATGTTATACAGGACAGATCTTTTGGTATCAGGAGCAGGAAAAGATACAGAACTCACCTTTCTGTGATAAGAGATAAGGGTGAACGGTCTTGGAAAGTCAGAAAAATGACATTGTCACTTCTCTAGCAAAGAGACTGCTGCTGCTCCTACCCAGTCAACACTCAACCCTGGTGAGCCCACATTTCGAGTACTGTGTCCAGTTCTGGGCCCCACAGTACAAGATGGATGTGGAGCTACTGGAGAGAGTCCAGCGCAGGGCTACAAGGATGATCAGGGGCCTGGAACATCTGCCCTATGAGGAGAGGCTGAGGGAGCTGGGCCTGTTCAGTCTGGAGAAGAGAAGGCTGAGAGGGGATTTAATAGGTGTCTATAAGTACCTCAAGGGAGGGAGTGAGGAGGATGGTGCTGGCCTCTTTTCAGTGGTGGCCACTGACAGAACTAGAGGTAATGGCCACAAACTGAAACACCAAAAGTTCCACAGGAACTTAAGGAAAAATTTCTTAAGAGTGAGGGTGTCAGAGCACTGGAACAGGCTGCCCAGAGAGGTTGTGGAGTCTCCTTCTCTGGAGGTCTTCAAAACCCGCTTGGACGCAGTCCTGTGCCACGTGCTCTAGGTGACCCTGCGTGTGCAGGGCGGGTTGGACTAGATGACCTCTAGAGGTCCCTTCCAACCTTAACGATTCTATGATTCTATGATTCTGTGAACACCTAAATTCAAGCAAACCAAACAGCTCTTGTTGACAGAGTTGTACAAAGAGGGTGTCTTGAATGAACATCATCTGGGGCTGGCTGATCACTCCTATTTTAAAATGCAGTTATTTATCGATCCTTTTTAATTTTATTGACCTCATAGTTGTTGTCCTCCTCCTGGATCTTGCTTTTCATTTATGCTTTTGGGAGGTGTAGAAGACTACACTTGACTAATCTGTCATTAACAAGAGGCAAAGATGGCCATCCAGGTGATTTAGAGTTGTACTGTGAGTAACAACTGTGTGCCAAAACTGTTTTATTCTTCAGCTATTTCCAATGCTAATTCTTCTTGGTGACAAATATGGAAAAGTATACTCATGATTAAATATAAACAACCTACAATAAGTTGCATAGTAGCAACTGCGTTGTGTCACTGTCTTTTTGGTAAGAGTGAAAACATATGTAGTCATTTATAAAACATGCAGGACATTTATAGCAGCATTACTCAATATTGCAGACATAATCAGTTTCAGGAATCATTTTATTGACAGCCTTTGACCTCAGCAAGGATCTGAAGAAACCACCTTTTCTGCAAGAAGACAAGACAGTCTTGCTATGAGAGATGTGCCTTTCTTTGGCTTCTTTTATTTGTTAACTTTCTCATGACTTTTTTATGTGAGAAGAGGAATGTACGGACACGGAGTGTTTCTCAGGCTTTAAATTTAAAACTGTATTTGAACACTTGCATCATTTCTAAGGAATATATAACACGTGAAACAAATGTGAAATGGAAACATCTTCACAGCTTCCATGTTTCTTAAGTTTCTACATCTGCTTTAATTTAAATTTCTACATATTGCTTTTGTATGGAGCACTTAAACATTGTAGGCACACAGAAGATGCCATTTTACAATGTCCAGAATATCTCTGGTATTCAGATGAATTTGTCAAAACTAAGGGCACAAACAAAGAAAAGTTAAAATAAGATGAAGTAGTAGTTGCGTCGTGTTATTGCTCCTAGCCAGTTTGGCTGGTTTGATAAAATGTAGTGCAGGATACTCTTTTAAAATGGTGAACTGCCTTTCAGAACGGTAAGGCTGAAAGGAGATCAGGAGTAACTGGATGATTTCAGGAAAGACTGTACAGTGGAGTCTAGATTGGGGTCTCAAAGCAGAAGACACAAATGACACAGTAGGAATGTGCATTTCTGCCTCTAACTGAATATTCCTTCTTTGTTTCCAGCGTACTTCATGTTTGTATTTTGAAGCAGCAAAAAAAATCTATAAGAAGCAGTCAGGCAGTTAAAGGATTTTATTTTCCAAGTAAAAATTGTACATCTAAGCACATCAACTTGGTACAATAATTGAACTGTAGCAAGAAGCTGAGCTAGAAGTGATATGAAGTATAATGTTATTAACGTCTACACACCCAACACTGTCCTATTCTTCTGCTGTGATAATCTGCCTTTGTGCTTCATATTATGCAACTTGAAAATGTTTGGATTGTGTAAATAGCCCAAGCAGGGCATTTTTGTCAGTACAATATGGAATTGTAAGGAAAATACAAAGGGTCTTTAAGAATAATTCTTTTTTGTACCAGCTTAGGAGCAATGGCCTTAAGTCAGAGATTCTACATTGTTATTAGGGCCTTCCCTGGCACTGGTTCGAATCTCTCTTGACTTATCCACTATTTTGTCCTTAGTAAGGATTTTATTCTTACATTCACAAATAGTGTTGAAGGAGGACTGCGGCCTGCTTGTTTCTCTGTTTATACTGAGAATATATTAAGAATATATTCTTAAGCTTTCTGGAGAAATCTGAAGTACTTATAACTTGAGCTGATTAAACTATTGATGTTTTCTTTTTCTATATTCCACTGTATAACTGGCCAAGATGTGATTTATGCTAATTGGTACATTTCTGCAATATGAAGTTCTCAGTATGGAGTAGAAAAATGGTAATCTTTATGCATAAGTTGAATTTTCATGGATATGAGGTTAATACTTTTGGTTTATTTCCATAGGCGTTTCCCCTTTCTTTATATGGTATTGAATTTTCTGACCTCAGTGACTTTAACTATCAATTTTTTTCCCTCTCTCTTTTTTTGTTTGTTTGTTTTCCTACAAGAATCCAAAAACTTTTCATATTCTTAATTACTCACTTGTCAAGACTCCAGGCTCATTCAACCTGTAGTAAAACAGGAGGACCTTTATTAAAATCAGCATCATTTTGCTTTATTTAAAAAAATGTCTGTTCTCCTTCCCACCTCTGTTTGAGCTTGGGCACCCAGGGCATTTTTTTCCAGAGTTTTAGTTTAGATAAAGTGGTTATCTGTGCAATAAAATGTAATTCTTAATTCTTTCTGTTCAGATATTACCAGATAAGAGTTGGACTGAAAATACCATCCAGAATTCCGCACAGACTGTTTGCGACGATTGCGGGACAGACAGGTAAGGAAGTCCCTGAGGGATGTGGCATGACTGGAGGTGAGGAAAGAAAAAGTAGGAGTGTGGGTGTATGGCAGGAGGAACAGCAGGAAGGACCCTGGAAGTCCTTGTAAAATGCCCTTCTCTTTTGGGTAATTATTGCTGTAAAACCAATGGAAATACTCACCAGCTTATCTGCAAGCAATCTCTCTAGGGGTAATTACTGCTGTAAAACCAATGGAATACCAGCTTATCTGCAAGCAATCTCTCTAATATGAGACTTACCTTGATAATACCAAGTGATTTGTGGATGGAAATTGTTTCAGTGTTAAGTGAATTGTTTCAATGTAGAGAAGTTTTCACTAAGAGAGTCATTTTAAGTAAATACCATTCACGGAGGAAGAGAGAAAAGGGAGAGCAATATTAGTGAGCTAGGAGCTTGGATACTCCTTTTTTTTTTAGATTGATTGTTGTTATGTTTGAAATATTGCTATTCAAGATTTTTGGTGCATTTCAGTTTCTCTTTCTTAATGTAATTGATTTTTCAATCTGAAAAATGTTTTTTTTCCATTAACGAGAATATAAAATATAGAAAACAAAATCAGAAAAAAAAAATCAGAAAAAAAGTCAAATTATCTTTGGTCAAGTCCAGGTTCAGAAAATCTTTTAATACAAAAACCTGCAGAGGGCTAAGAAAACTATTTTCATTCCATTCCAGTATAAATACGCTTTACAAACTCAGAATACCCTGAGCTGCTGGAGCTCTGTTGTTCTCTGGAAACATCCTCAATTTCTAGTAATTTCTGGCATAGACAGTATAGGACTACTGAAATGCTTTCACCATGAGTATACCTAGAACTTTACTTTCTAGGAAAAAAAAAAAAAGTTCCAACTCTATTCTGCAGTGAAACGACAAATTACTGTATAATTCAAGGAACAGACTCAGGTATTTTCCTCATTCGCTTTTTATCTAGGTCAGTGTTGCCTTGTTCCTAACATTTCCACATGTCTGAAAAGCAGGACTTTTTGTTTTTTTGTTCTTTATTTGGATATCCTGTCTCCCTTCTTGCAATGATCCACACGAAAAAGTGAGGAGGAGGAGAGGCAAAGCTGACAGAGTAGTTGCCAGGTTAGCAGCTGATTAGCCTAATGCTAATGCAATTTAGGCAGGCACCTAATAGCTTTATAGGGCTAACATCAAGACGGGGGTATTTAAGCTGTTAAGACTTTAAACAGATTTTTTTTTTCCCTTGGCTGTCTTTGCAAGTGCTTCTTAATTGATTTCGTAGGCCTGTGAGCGAGCATCATTTAATGGCACTGAGCATCAAGCCAGTCTGTAACATTCCTTCTGTTCTCATGCCACTGATCTTTCTTAGTCTAAGGATAGACCAGGCAAAGAATAATTAAACTGTACACCCAACGAAACAGAATTGCTACAAAACCAGAGTGAATTATCCTACCTCTCCAAAACGATGACTACAAAATTTGTAGGATTCATGAGTTTGGTTTAAAGGAAGTGTTTTTAATCTTTTCCTTAACAGTCTGTTATCATCATTCAGAACTAAGTGTTTGCTTTTTTTTTTTTTTTAAAAAATAATTATGTAAATTTATACAGTGCAATCTGTACATAAATGTCATAGTAAAATATATAAAACATGCAAATACATAAAATAGCAAGAGGTCATGTCTCTCTTCCAGTGCCTGTGGCTTTTTATTTTTACTAAATTTTGCTGGACCTCCAGTTAAAAGCATGGGAACTCATGGAATTAGTAATGCATAGTTTGCTTCCTATGAGGTGTTTTGAGCTGCAGAAGTAGAAAAGCTTAATTTTTGAGAATTCATCATAGGAGTGCTAAAGCTTCTTTCAGGCATTCTCATAGTATTTGTTAGCCATGTCTGAAGGACAAGGACTCCATGCATGGACAGGATAGATATATATGCAGGGAGCTATGCCAACCTACTAGGTTTTCCACATATAGGGAAAAGAATGAGGCATATCCCAGTTGCAGCTGTTCTGGGTACCAGTAGTCTCTATGGCTTGGTGAACCAGCTTACAGGAACTGCACTTTAGACTGTGTTGACTCACGCTATATGAACTTAAATGAATCATGTAGGGTGTATATACATACTTGCATATGTGTATATATATATATGTCCGTAATTATATGCATATGCATACGTATATACACAGAGAATTTTTATTAATAGTCCTAAGCCTTATTAGTTTGGTGGGCTTCTTCAAAAACAAAAAGAGACTGGTAGTTGTCTGAGCTGCTCAGCAGTTAAAAGGGAGGAGAGAAAGAGGCTGGTTACACAGGCAATCTACATTACCTCATACTGGTCCTTCAGCCTCCGAGGAATTTAGCTCCTGTCTTTGAATAGACATCATGACTGATGAAGCCTGCGTCTGGCTTAAAGAACAAATTATGCTCTTTGCTCTTCTTATGCAGCTCATAATGGCACATACTTCATCAGTCTCAGCATCAATTCCACGGTGCATAGCTAACACAGATGTATCTTAAAGTCGAACTCTATAAATGCCTTTGTAAGTGGATTTATGGGACTCATTCCTGGTACTCTTCTGCAGCATGGCTTGTTAAAATCCTGGTGTGGTGATGTTCACCTGGGACAAGCCATGAGCTGAATCTGCCTGACCAATGCGCCAATAGCCAAAGGAGCCAGGAACATCAGTGCAGCATCTCACAACAGCACATCTGTATGATTAGTTCCTTGGCTGAGTTGGTATATGAGACACTAAATGTTTTCCATTAGCTTTTAGACTCTCATATAAACCCGGGGATAAGAATTTATAGGAGTTATGAATATGTAGTCATCTTAGTGGTTTTCAAACTGTAGATCTGATGGAAGACCACCGTAGCTTATCTTTAAAGCACATCTATGACGATTTTTTATTTAACAATTGGTCCACAGGCATGCAAGTTTTTGGGTCAAAACCGTGGGAGATAAAATACCAGTCCAAAATAATTTAGACTAGCTGCATTACTTTGGTTTCATGCACCACCTAAAACAAAATCCATCCGATTGTTACCATAGTTTTTGTTATAAAAAATACACAAATTTGGATGGAGTTAAATCTCTAAAGCAAAATTATCTGTAGAGAAACAGTACAAAATCATCTGTCTTGCATTACCACAAGGATCCTAGCAGCTCAGATCACACAGTGATATAGTTGAAGATTGCTTTAGAACGTTCTGTGGGGTAAATATGAGGAGTATTATTACTTAGGCAGGAACCTTAGACTGAATTTCATTGAAGTTGCCACTGAAGCCAAATCTGCAGGAAAGCATAATTCTGAACTTTCTCTTCAGTGTGTTGCAGTAGTATGAATGCCAGCTGGAGTCATTACTGCTTGGAGAGAGAATCATCCCTTATTAGTCAAATTTGCCATCAGTTTCCATTATAAGCTCTGTTTTTAGACCTGCTATGTCTCATTCTCATTTTTGGTATGGATAGCAGCTTGCCTGATTAGCTTAAAGGTCAAGGAAAATTTTTTGGTATAACTAAAGGAAAGACTACTTTGCATAACATATAACTAGAGAAATGACTTAGGACATATTGATTTGTGTCCAAATTTATGTTTTTCTACTTTCATTTATCCAAAAGTGTAGTGTTACCAATTTTCAAAACATTTCAAAAGGACAAACATTTTTGAAAAGTTGGTCTGAAAATGTAATTGCAGGTAATAAGAAATAATGGAGCTAAATTATTACCTGTCAGTGTTCTTTATTAGATTGTAACAGGTTGCACCTAATTTTAGTCAGTTAAATTGGGCTGTTGCCTAAGAGTACTGAAAGCCAAAAAGATTTAAGAAATTCTGTTTTTTTTTCAGCTACCTAGTGTAGGACATGGGGGATGAGATGCAATATTTGTATCAGATAAGCCAAAAAAAAAGTAACTGTGACAGCCATCATGCATTCGCTGTTTTGATTGGTGATGTAGAGATGTTTCCTGTACACATAATTTGATGTTTTCTTATAAAATGGAATATCTGATATGTGATAAGAAAAAATTATTATGATTTAAATTGGGCTGTACAGAAGAGATGTGTAATGAAGAAGAGAATATCAAAGAAGGAAAAACATTTCTTTAATGTCTGCCTGCATCTTACTACACCAGCTTATGCTCATGCATTTCAAATACTTTTGCTATGGCTTTGCTATAAATTGAATTTTAAATCAGTACAAGTTATTTTGATTCTACATCTGCCTGATACCTAAGTCCTGATTTGAAGGGTCACTTACCTTTCTGATATGTTCCCTAATGGACTAACTGTTTTTATTCCTGTTTTTAATAGATAACTAGTGACCCTTAGCTCTCAATTGCTGTTTAGAAATCTCAAATAAATTCCCAGTGAGGAAATTTTACTTTGATATTTAAAGAAAGTCTTTTCTTGTAAACTGCTTTTTAATGTAGTCAAAACATTCATTTGCAGTTTGTTGCTCATTAGAGCAAGAAGAAATACACTGTGACTTGTGGAACAGTATGAAATTGCAGTCATTAGTTTCAATAACTTTTTGAAATGCAATTTCTGCCTCCATTAAGTGAAGATAGGCTTACTACTTTTGAAGCATGAAAAAAGCAAGAACAAGGTTTCTTGTTGTAGCAAATCTGTGAATTTGTTTTCAAAGCCTATTAAAGTAACTGAAATATATGTATTTTTAGACATAAAATAAGGCGTTCCTGATAATAAATAAGAATTATATCCAAAAGAGACCTTATTGTGGGAGTATCGTGACTACTGAGGATGAGTTGTTTTGGAAACCCTCATTAAGTGTGGAACCATGAGAGGTGGTCAGAAATTTTAAGTGTTGTTCACCAACTGGAATTAATTCCCATGATCTTCCAAGAGGCAAACAGGAAAGTTAACCTGAACACAGAAAAACACAGAAAGAAATCAAAGACATTCTCAGCTGTTTCTGTGTGCACATCTCAAATCTCTTCCCATCCAGATCTTTGGTAATAGATCAAGGATTAAAAAGCTAAAAAAACTTCTCTATGAAAAT